AAAAGTTTTCACATTTTAAAATTTTGTGTTTGATTTTTAGTGTGAACAATCAGAAACTGAATTAGGACAATTAGCACAACAACAGACCATACTTATTCGCACTTGTTTGGACTTGCTTAGTCAATATGGTGCTATTGCAGGATTGTATCCAAACTCTTATTTCAAGAAACATAGAATTGTTTGTTTTCATCGCTGGACAAAATATTTGCTTGAAAGTTTGAGTATTGAGCGGTATGTTGATTGTTGTAATGTATTTAACTTTCCTGAATATACAGACATTTCAGATTCATGTTTTCTTCTGCTTTTTAGTATTAATTCTTGTATAGTTTTTGTGTTTTATTTTAATTTTAATTGAGACTCGTGTTAATTTGTCAGAGATTTCATGAAGTTTGTGAAGTTATGAAACCTGCTAAAGTGCAATATTTACTTGTTATAGAACATTCTTTTGTAAAGAAAACAAAGTGACTTTGTGTGATTGCTTTGTTAGGACTGTAGGTATAACTTAAGAACCTGCTATAACATATAGGTACTACATGTTATAGAGATATAAAATGAGAATTTGCATGCCCTAATTTCATTCAGAAAACTTAAGTCTTGCTTACAGCTCTAACAACTGGTAACCATGTAAATTTATTTTTTTAGGTGCCATGACGTTGCAGCACAGTTCCAGTCGTTCTTTTCTCCTGATAATATTACAAACAATCCTCTCTGTCGCACTGCTGTATCTTTCAGCTATCAGTTGCAATCAGCTTTGCAAGAAGCTAATGTACGCTTTTCAAATGCACTAGAGAAGATGACTTCAAAAGGTTTGCCGGAAGGAACTGTTACCTTTGAAAAGGATTATGATGATGCACATAAAGCTATAGAAAATTTTCTTGCATCAGATCCAACTGCCACTCTGGCTTTAGAGTGTGTGAATGTGACAGCTTTATGCTCCTTGAATAAACGGTATCTAATGATGGAGGCTGCTGCTGCAAGTAAGTGTGGCTGTTTGGGTAGAAATGTTTACACTAGTCTGAATTTAAAAAAAAACAACAACAAATTATATGAAGTTTGTTTAAATTTAAATTTCTATAATCCATGGATATATTCTCTACAAATTGTTAGGTGCTGGCGACTGTCTTGTGGATTTAACATCCCGTGATGGTGAATGGTTCCTTGATGAGATGCACTTCGTGAGCACTTTAGTATCTGAATTCAGTAGCATACTTCCATATCAGCGAAATCCAGCCTCCCCAGAAGCAGACGAAATTCCCAGTCTCCGATTAGCTTTGCAGTGTCTTTACTCGGCTAATGTTATTTTCAGAGGCTTGAAGGTACCTTCATGTGCTATTTCGTACATTTTCTTTTGGTGTCTAGTTGGTCCAAAATTTACCCAGCAATTCAGTTTTGTTTGTTTTACATTTCCTTACATCCTATTTATTTTATTTTATTTCTTCTTTTTTTTTTCATTTCTTTTTCTTTGTTCATTCTTCCCCCTTTTTGCTTCTTCTTGCCCTTCATTTTTCTTCTGTATTTCAAGTTTTTCTTCTCTTTCCATCTTATTTTAGTTTTTTTGAACTTGTGCTCCTCTTTTTTTATCATCATAGATCACTAATGTTAATCTTTTGAGTTATTTGCTTTTGATTTCTGAATTGTCTTAAATGTATTGCAGGAACTTAACTTTAATTTCCATACAATTATTTTACCTGAAGCACTTAAAGCTCTTCAGACTGAAGAACCAACTGTAATTTCAGTTATTGAAACATTAGATGAAATTATTCAAAGCATTGGCTGTCCTATAACAGAGTTGCTGGCCCAGTTGGAACTACATCTACGTTATGTTATTATGGACATGGAGGTAGAATCTTCAAGAATTATAATTTTTTTATTGTCAAAATTAATTTGATGAAATATGTAGTAGATACCAATATTTTATTTGTTTTCCAGTCTCCTCATAGTCATGTTCAAACTATTGTATATGATCTTCGAACTAAATATGAATCTCTACTTCTTCACTCTCATGACATACATCGTGACGACTTTGTTGGCGATGAAGGCCTGTCACCTGGAAAAATGTTACTAATGGGTTTTAATGGTCTCTTTGAAAAACTACAACTTGAAGGAGCTGCTCTAGTGACAGCCTTGGAAACCATTGAGACTCCTCCTTCTTGGAAGAAGGTGGATCAAGTTAGAGAAGCTAAGTCATTGTCTGTGAGTACTAAGTTTGTATTATATAACGGTTTTTGTTGAGGATATTGCATGATTGCAATATGCAATATATTGCAAAATATTGCAATCATGAATACACACATTGCATGATTGCAATATGTGTATTTATTTAAAGTTTCAGAAATTGCCTAGTAATGCACATGTGTACACTTCAAATCTCCTGGGCTCTACAGTGTATACACACTAGAATATCCTGTTCAGTAGGCTGAAAATAAGCCTACTGAACCCTACTGATTTTGCCTACTGATTTTGCAAGTTCTCCTTTTCCAAGTGAAAATTACTCCGTCCTCAACATGTGATATACACCGTGGTTACCAGTGCAATATAAGTTTCATTTCGACAACCGGTTTCCATAATTAGTCGTTCAGTTGTACAGGAATTATAAAATATTTTCTGTACACTTCAGATAAGTATTTTATTTTGTTTATTTTTCATCCATCCCGAATTGTGTTCGGATTATCGGAAATTTCGGAAATTCTTCTGTACATGAGGGAAAGTATTTAGATTGTTTCAATTCGTCACAAATTACTTTCCCAACATTTTGAGCCGTTAACCCAATTATTTCATCGCTTGTCTTGGAAGAGATAATTTGTATTGCCACTACCACAATTACTGTAATTTTCAGTATGTGTCTCTAACAATGGATCGAACTAGGATATCAGCTCTGAAACGATAAGAAAATTTCCATTCCTGGCAGATCCATATATCTCGTTGTCGCCTCTTATAGCGAGGCCTCTTTATGTCAGGGCCTTCATAGTCGCTACAACTCTAGTTCAAAAATTTCTCCAATAGTGTGTTTCTTTGACTAATTGTAAAGTAAAATGTTAACACAGATTTAGATTTATTTAATCAAAAAACAGTAAAATCTGTATGTGACATATGGGGAAAAATATGAGTTGTAGAAGTTAAAAGAAATCCCTCTTGCTTTAAGAGTAATTATAGCAGACGTGCATGTATTGACGAACATAGCAGATGTGTTATTTCATTGGAACCTATTTGTCGCAAAATCGTGATCGTTATTTAATGTTAATCAGTAAACAAGGGCCACAAAAAACTTATCCTTTACATTTGGAGAAAATCATCAATTTTCTTTCATGAACTTTCAAATAGCTCTTTTGATCTTTGTTCGCTCTTAAGCTGTTAGTGAAATCCAATCCTATGTTTTGGTCAAAGCCATTTTTTGCTATTAGATCTCTAGTAGCATAATTTATGAACCACAAAGTTGGATCCTTATTTAATGTGTTTGCTAATGTTGGCTCTTTATATTCCTTTAAAGGTCGACTTTTAACACCAAATCTATTAAGTAGAATCTCATAGTGAGAATTTACTTATATTTCAGTATGTTCTGATAACAACATAGCTATTTTGGAAAAACTCATTCCAGTGAAAACATTTTTATCCCCAACAGAACCAAAACAAACGGGATGAACATTTTTAGGTTCCCCCTTTTTCTTCCACTGGCATACTATTAGTTTTTAAGAAATCTATTTTTTTATTTGTCAGAACACGTTCTTGAATTTTCAGTTTTGCTTGGAGTGTTTCTTTGTATTCAGCGTCACTGAGGTGCCATGGTGAAATAATGGCTACTCGAGGAGGACGCTCAAAGCCATATCTCAAGGCTGTCCTTATCGATACCTAGCTGATACGCATCGAAATCCGAGGTTTCAATATTGAATAATGATTTTGGTCGATTTCAGAAATATTTTTTCACCGGGTTAATTGTGATAATCGATGTGTTGGTTTGGATTTCTTTTTTTCAGTTTTTGTCAAAATTCCAGGTGGATATCTTAGAAAATGGTAACAAAAATAAAATGAAACATTATCGGCAAGTTTCTCTTTCATCAGACTCCCCGACGTCTCGTGCGCTCCTAGGCAATGCTCTAAGGCTACATCACAATGCAAACTTAAACGTAAACATAACATAGCCGCAAAACATAGAAATGTGTTATTAAATGAGACCATTCGCAATGTCTTGACGTACCCGTAGACGTAAAGACGTAAACTTAAGTTCAAACTAAACAGAGTTCACAAGCACCAAGCTATCACCTTAAGTTTAGGTCGGAATTCTACCGACGACCAATCAGAGCAGCATGAAAGAAACAAACGTGGATTGTGTTCAGGTAGATTGCTGTGATGTCATTTCATTACTGTTATGTACTGAACTAGTTTGCGAACTGTTTTGACGCGAGTAGTGAATTCAAAGAAAGAATTTAGACCATTTTTCTTGTGACTAACTTGACGTGGCGAATAAAATAATTCACGTCCGACGAATCACTCGTGAATTTGGTACTAGAGAATCCTTGTTTATAAAGTAAAGAAATGAGAGTACTAATACAACAGCTACTCTCATTTATGTAAAGAGACAAACCGATAGGAAAATCGAAGAGGAAGCTAGAAACCATGATGGAAAGATCTTTTCACCATGCTACAAACGAATCGACAATCAATCAAGCTTCAATACCCTGAAATCAGATTGGCTTAGGCGAAACTTACGTTCCCGCTAACGTTCGTCATTGTGAATGCTTGTTTTTACGTGTAAATTTTACTGTTAAGTTTACGGCATTAGGTTAAGTTTAAGTTTGCATTGAGAATGAGGCCTATCGTCACGCTCTTAAGCTCTTATATTGCGTTTACTCTTTCGCCACGCGTACCTATACTCAGATTTAAACTCGGTGGCATACAGGTCAGAAGCTGTATAGGGACGGGGATAATGTCATCTAATCGGGAGCATCGTTACGACTTTGAATCGGGAACTACCGTATCAAAAAATCTATGATAATGTCCGCCTCCCCCTCCCCCATTCTCGTCTCCCCTCCTTCCCC